GCGCAGACCGCATCTCGGAACCCAAGCTGGGCAGGGGCAGGCGGCTGCTGGCAAACCCCAGCACAGAGGCCCCCAGCGTATGGCGAGACCACGGGGCGCGGCGGCCGAGACAAAACAAGGCGCTCAAGCGAGGGCGCCACCTCCCTGCGCACTAACGATGAGAGCGCGTGGACCAAGGCAGCCAACGGGGCAGCCGCGCCGTCACATCCCAGCAGGAGAGGGGGAGGGAGAGAAGGGCAGATGTCCAAGAGAGCTGCGCAATCGTTCGCACATGCTGACAACTCCAGGCTGCGGCTCTCTGTCCCCAGCCACCGCAAGACAAGGTCGCGGAGTGGTGCCATTGGGCACGCAAGCCCTCGGGCCTCCATAGCTGGCAGCGCGCCTCCTCTAGCTGCAGACTCGGCCCCGGGCGGCCAGGCGCGATTCCGAGGGGGGTGTCCGGCAGAACTTGAGCCCTCTCGCCTGGCCACCGCACTCATTCATACCCATGGTACCCCCAAGCAGCGCAGGCCCCAGTGGCAAGCAATTGGACGTCGGCGGCAGGCATCAGCGACGGCGGTGACAGGGCGGCGCGCGGAGGGAGCGCACGCGCACGCGTGGAGTACAACGGGCAGCACAAGCGCGCGCGCACGGACGGGCAAGCACGAGGACACGTGCGAGCAGGAAGGGCCCATCACTTCATGACCCTGCGTCCAGCATCCACATCACTCAGGCACGCCGCGGCAGGTACTCGCACGTGCAAATCAAGAGCATAGACAACAGATGCAACTATGCACAGACCTAGCAACCTTCCACCATGCCCAACTGAGACCGAAGTGCATTGCTGACATCTCTGCCCCAACAGTATGATAGCATGCGCTCGCCCGAGATTGCCAATGCCCCTTTGGATGGCCTCCTCCGCGTCAGCGAGAATCTGGCGCGCCGACCTCTTTGGCGCCGGCTCGCGCAGCAAATTAGCACTAGAGGCTGGCGGGGCCGGTGACTGGAGGTCGACCACTAGACCCAGAAACAAATTCAGCGCCTCGATCCAAGTGTCAAGGGTGGCCCGGCCCCCGCGCACAACTACAGTGCCAAACCTCTTGTTGACAAGCTGAATCTGAAACTTCTGCTTGGGCGACAACGCCGCGGTGACTTCAGAGACGGTTGGTTCGGGCCCCCCGTAGCGAACGCAAAAGGCGGGACGCCGCTGTAGGTGGCACCACCGCGGCGCGAGCCATGACTATACGGACGCCCATAGCTTGCGCCACATTGTGGAGGTCCACCTGCGAAGAGAGGTTGGAAGCAAAGTGGGCAGTGAGGTTCAGCCTCGGGTCCTTGTGGCTTCCTGCGATCTGCCGCACCCGCATAAGCCAGCTTGAGACTGCCTGCTCGTGCTCGGCCCTGGTGTTGAACCTAACGAGGCTCACGGGTTGCGGCATGCCAGCGCCGCCAGCGACTGGGGGCAGACCGAGAACCGGCGCCGGGGCCGCGGCGGCCGCCGCTCGGCTCCGGACATGGGCTAGGATGGCAGCGGGCTGGGCAGCAGGCTGCGCAACTAGTGGGCCGGCTACCGGAGCTGCGGGCCCAGCCGCCTGGCTCTGAGCCTGGTCTTCGATGGCTGCACGCATGGCTGCCTCATCGGCAGGGGGGCAGGTAGCAAGCGGCACGACTGCAGGGCCTGCGACAGCCTCCAGTTGCGGGCCTGCAGTGCTGGGATCGACTGGGGCCCCGGCTGGCAGCTGGCCGGCGGGCCGCGAGAAGCTAGCGAGCTGCTGATTCAGGCGGGGAACGCGGGAGAGCCAGGACTCGACCTCAGGGGGCCTGCTACGCGCCACCTGCTGCGTGGCACTGTGGAGCCACAAGGCCTCGCCTCCGCCGGGGGCGCGGAACTCCACCCAGGCCGGGCGCTCGGCCTGGAGAGCCTCTTGCCGCCGCGCGCGCCGCATGCTGCGCCGCGGCCTGGGTCCCCGGCGCCGTGCCCTCCGGGGGGGCCGAGAACGGCTGGGCGACAGCCGCGGCGGAAGAATCGCGGACAAGGACAGCAGGGGCCGCGGCGGGAACTACCTGGCTAGGGCCCGGGTGGTCCCAACGGCTCTCCCCCGTGCGCCTGTTCTGGAAAAACAGAGCCCTGGGCGGCGCGCGACGAGACTCCCACCCCCACGGCAGCGGCGGAGGAGACGCGTCCGGCGGGCCAGGCGACCGCTCCATGGTCGCGGCATTGCCCCGCCTTGGCGTTGATGGGCCCGCGCCAGCCGGGGGCGATGGAGGCGGCGGGGGCGGCGGCGGCCGCGGCGACACTGGCGCCGCGCCGATCCAGCCCGCTGGCGGCCCGCGCGACGGGCTAAGCACAGTGGGCCCCGCCGGAGCAGGGGAGAGGACCGTGCGGGCCTTCGCCGACGCCCCCGGGAAGGAGAAGCCGGGAAAGGGCATGGTGTGGCAGGCGGCGACGGGATCAAAGCTCCGAGCGCCGCGCTGAGTTCAACCGACGGGCCGCGCGGCTGGCTGCTTGCCACAGGCGTCGGGCTACACTCATCAGACCTGGATGGGGTCGGCTCGGATGATTGCGGGCTGGGGCGGCGCCTACGATGGCGCTCGCGGCTGCTGCGGCTGCTGCGGGCGCGGCGCCGGTCCCTGTCACGGTCGCGGTCACGTGAGCGATCCCGATCTCTGTCGCGGTCACGGCCTCGGAGCCAAAGCGCGACGGGTCGGGCGAAAAAGCACGGCGCGGACAGACACTCTTGGCGCGCATGAAAGCGGAGAGTGTAGCAGGCGACACCCCCTCCCCAACGGCCACGCTCGGGGCGCGCTGGTGGACAGCGGGCAGCAAGGGCAATCATGGGGGAGTGGATAAATGGCACGCAGGAGCTGGAACAAGACGACACTAGAGGAGGCAAGGCACGCTCACGCCAGAACACATTGCGAAGCGCACGCGATGCATGCGCGAATCCTGGCCGACGACGACGACGACGGCGACCGCGACGCCCGCCCCCTCTGGGGTCAGCCGCGGGCAACCCTACAGACGTCCGGGGGCCCAAGCAGTCGCGTAGAATCCGTGAGGGGGCACAAGCGACACGGCGCGGCAGGATGGTTCGGTGCGGTCACCGCACGGACGACAATAGCACTCGAGCCCCCAAGTGAGGCCAGCGCGTCGCTGGCGCGGCCTTCACCAGCACCTAACGAAAGTTAAAGAGCAGCGCCACCCAGCGCGCAGCTTGCTTTCGCGGCCTAAGCCGAGAAACCATTGAAAAAACAGCTGGAGCAAGAACGCAGCGCCAGCGCCCACGCCGGCACCAACGCTGGCGCCCGCACCAACACAGACGCCAGCGCCTACGCCAGCACCGACGCCAGCGCCGGCACCGACGCCCACGCCAGCGCCTGCAGCAGCACTGTCGCCAACGCCGTCGCCTGCGCTGGCACCCAGGTATGGGCCTACGCCATCGCCGACGCCAGCGCCCGCGCCTGCGCCTGGGCCGACGCCTGCGCCAGCGCGTATGCCAGCTCACAAATTGCGCTTCGCCTGTCAAACCGCTTGGCAGTTGTGTCGCTGTGTCGTTTCTGGCGTCGACGCAGCAGAACGTGCGCAGGGAGGGGGGTCCTCAATTTGGGTGTATCGCAATTTTAGCTGCCTTGCTGGGCGCCGTGGCTGGGCGGGGTCGCGCGCTGTTTCGCGCGTGCACGTGGCGTGTTTGCGTCTAGCCTGGGGCGGGCAGTTTTGCTTCGGCAGGCGCATTTGAGAAGGGATGGGGGCTTTTTCTTTTCGTCTTACCAAGTGGGCCCCGACAGTGCGAATGTCTAGAATATGGGGGGCCGTGTCAGAGGTGGCCATGAAGCCCAACGCGCTGCCACCCCGGGCAGGCTGAGCTGCCCGGCGGAAAGGGGCGATGGGGGGGGAAGCAGGCAGACGACGACGAACGCGCAGGCGGGGGGCCGGGGCCGTCGGGGCGGTCGGGCAGGCGGAGACGTGGCAAGGCGGAGACAGCAGGCAGGGTGCAGGAGGAAAGGAAGGGAGAGAAGCCAGGAAGAGGAGGAGTTGGGAAGCAACCGCGAGCAGACAGACCAGTCCAGGGACAGGGAACGAAGGTCTACCCACGACGAGGCTACGGACCCTGCGGCGGCGACGCCGACCAGGCGGCGCAGGCGCAGCGGTGGAGTGGGCGGTGGGCGTTGGGGGGGGGCGTTGTCTGTCGCAGCGCGCTGCTGCTTGGTGTGGAGAGTCCTTTGCTGCAGGATCACTACCTGCCCTTCCGGGGGAGGGCCGGGCGGCGCGCGGGGGGGCAGGGGGGTGAGGAGCTGCCAGCGCGACGCTGGTGGAAGGGCGTGGGGGGCGCCCGTGCTGCGCAGCAGCGGCGGTGGGGCGGGGGGGGGGTCGGGCGCCAGGGGTGCTGCGCACGGCGTCGGCCGTGGAGGCAACCGTGGCCGCGGCCAGACGGGCCGCTGCCAGCCCCGCTTTTCCAGATAGCGTTTGGAGGCGCCGTGACACTGCCCGCGCGTTCTTCCTGCGCAGGGAGACGGACGGCCGCTGGGTGTGTGGGTCCGCGGCCGCCGTAGCATCTCCCTCTGTGGCGTCGGTCGCCCGCTTGGCTAGAACCCCGAAGGCCTTGCGTGCCTCGCGGCCTCGCCCGCTGCCGTGGGCTTCCGCTGCTCTTGGAGGGGAAGCTGGGGCCCCACGCCGCGCGGAGCCACGTGGTGTCTTGGGGCTGCTCAGTGACCTCCGTCTGGCGCGTGACACGTGGTTGCCAAGTTTCTGGTCTCGCTCGAACTGCGTGGAGGGAGGGGGGTGGGGGCGTGGGGGGAAGCGGGCAGGCGAGCAGGCTGGCAGGCAGGGGGGCAGGCAGGCAGGCAGGCGGGCAGGCAGGCAGGCAGGCAGGCAGGGAGGCAGGCAGGCAGGCATGGATGGGGGGGGGGAGGGCAGGAGTTTGGTGTTGTTTTTCTTCCCCATCCACTCCCCCTTATCCCTTCGCCCTCTCCCCTGTCCCCTTCCTCCCCTCCGTTCTTCTTTGCCGGTCCGGCGTGCGGCACAGGCAAATTTGCGCTCGGCGCCTGGGCCTGTCATGCCGGGGCCGCAGGCCCGCGCCGCCCGCCCGGCCATCGCCGCAGCAGCGCCCGGGGCCGCGAGAAAGCCTGCAGCCGCATGTCATCTTTTTCGCACGCGCAGAGTTTAGTATTTTGTCTGATGGGTGCTTGCCCCGCCCTCTCCAATGCAAAAACATGAACTTTTGATGATTTTGCGAAGGGCAACAAAGAAACACATTGCGCACAGCGTGTGCGGACGAGGAGGGGGGCGCAGCGTGCGCCCGGCGCGTGCGCGTTTGGCGCGCGTGGGTGTGCAGAGTTTCCACGTTTGCAGTCGCAGAAGTGAGGTCGTTCAGCGGCGCTTGGTGCTGGGGGGGGGGGCTCCAACTTGCTCGGCGCGCTCGCGCGTGGAGTTCGTAGCGCGCAGGCGTGCCAGAGCGGATGGGCGGCGGGTGGTGGGTCCGACAGTCGCCAGGCGCATTCTCGTTCGGTCTGAAGTTTTCCGCGGGCGTGCGCCAGGGGGGGATCCAACGTGCGCCGCGCTCGACGCGTGCGCGGTTCGTGCAGGTGGGCGTGTGTGAGAGGGGGGCATGCAGCGTGATCGCCGGCGCCGCGCCCAGCTGAGCCGGCCGCGCCCTGGGGAGCCGAGGTGGGCGAAGAGGCGGCGGGCAGTCTCGGGATTTTCCGCGTCTTTTCTGGTCTAGCTCTGTAGCGCCTAGGGCCGCTCTGCGCGGGCTTCGAAAGGGGGGGGGGGCGGTGGCGCAGGTGCGAGTCCTCTTTCCTGATGGCCACGTGCAGCCTCGGGCCTTAGATGGTCGCCTCTGCCAGGCGGCCCCTGCCGCCTCTGAAACCGGGGGGCCGCCCATGAAACCGGCGACGGGGGCGCGCGGCCCCTTGCTCGCAGAAGCGCCGCGCAGGGTCGCGCCCAGGGCGGGCGCGGAGGCGCGCGAGTGGGCCGTCCTAGCGGCGGTCGGGCCCCATGCAGTGTGGAGTGGGCCGCGAGAGGGGCCATGAGCTGAAGTGCGCCATCGTGGCGGCTAATCTGGAGAAGGGGGCGGGCGCCGAAGTATTTTCGCTGGACGTGGCCAACGATTTCGACAAGTTCTGCCGGAGGTCGCCTGCCACCTCTCGGAGCTGTTGCGGGTGGCGGCCATTTTTTGCGGAAGGGGCCACAACGCATGGGGCCCGGCTGCTTTGGGTGGGTGGGTCAAAGCTGGACTGCGCCCTCGCCGCGACACGCTTCGCCGCGGCGTGGACCTGGGGGTGGCAGCGCGCCGCGCGTTCCCCGCGGCCACGCTCGTGGCGTACTTTGACGGAGTGTACGTGGCGGGCAGCGAGGGCGCGCTGGCGGCCGCGCTCGCCGAGGCGCTTGCTGCCGCCGCGTGGCTGGGTCTCCGCTAGGGCGTTGGGGAGCCGAGGTCTGGCCCCCCCACGGCCTGGCCTGTCTCTGACCTGGCCGCTAGCCAGGGTGGCGGTGCCCGAGCTGACATGCGTGGGGTGCGCCTTTCCTGGCGTGCGCGGAGCGGCCAGGGGGGTGGGCAGCTGGCTGCGCTGCTTTCGCTAACGCAGGACGACCGCGTGCCAGCGCTGCAGCTCGCCACCCCGCCATGCGTCGGTGCTGCCTGCTTCCGCGCGTGGGCGAACGGAAAATGCTTTGGGGCCGTCCCCGTCGGCCGAGAATAATAACACGTCGCCAATTGCTCGCGCCGAACGTTGCGGCCGCGGCCGCTGAAAATAAAACCGTCTCCACTTGGTTGCGCGATAGGTTGCGCCCTCGGCGGCCGAAAATGAACCCGCCCCCCGTCGGTCGTGCCATATGTTGCGCCCTCGGCGGCCGACGATTATACAATATCCTATTGGTTGCGCCATAGTGAGCCCTAGGGTGCCGAAAATAAAACCGTCTCCTATTAGCTTCGCCACGGGTTGCGCCCTCGGCGGCCGAAAATGAACGCGCTTCGTTGCGCCGTAGGTTGCGCCATCGGCGGCCGAGAACAAGCGGCACGTGCGCACCGGGTCTTGCACACAGGGCGTCCTGGCCGCCGCCCTGGGGCACTGCCCTGGATTCCACGTTGTTGGCAGCGTAACGATTGCGCGCCGCAGCAGCGCTCTGGACTGGCTCGAGCGCTGCCTGGGCGCAGGCGGCGCTACTTGGGTGACCGCAGGGCTGGCGTTCCCTGCCTGTGACCGCTTGTGATCGTGCGGCCGCCCTGAGGCCGCGTGATTCGACGTTGGCCTTATAGATTTTGCCGCCAGCATCATGTGATGTGCGTCGGCTTGGCGGTGGCGGACTCCGCCCTCGTGGCCGCTGCGGCGGGCGAGGGCCGCGCCGCCCAGGGCGGCGCTGCCAAGCCGGCTGCAGGGAAGAGCACGGCCCAGGACCCCCAGGCCTGCTCCTCCATCCCCTTCCCCTCTCTCTTTCATTTCCTACTCCCCCCTTGTCTCCGGCAGGCGCGCGTGCGCTCAGCGGGGGGTGTCTGGATGCGCGCGTCCCGCGGACGCGCGCCCGTCTCCCTCTCCCCTTTTTCCTCCTCTTCCTCCTTCCTGAACCACTCTGCCCGGGGCATTGGCCCAGGCCGAACGCGGGCTGTGTCGGCGGAAGGGGTGCGTGTGTGGTGGCGCTGCTCGTTTCTGCCTTGGCCAGACCCAGTTTCAACAGGAGACCATCGCAGGACTGCGAGGGGAGAGCGGCTGGATGCAGTGCACTCCCGTGGGTCTGCTGGGTCCGCGTGGAGGAGTGGGAGCTGGAGGAGGAGGAG